AGTCCGATCTAAATTAATACTGGATAAGTATCTGCGCTCGCCGTAATGGTCACGCCGTCTAACATTTTAGACTAACGTGTGAGAACAGAAGAGATTCGAAATAAAATCTGTACATACATCAAGCAAATTTTTGTGTGAAACCTTCCCAGAATTCCTTTGCTCCCAGGATTCCATGCGAAAATGGCGAATAAAAATTTAACATGAAACATAAAAAGCGTTTGGCTTGTAGAAATCTTAAATGAGACAGGAAAATACTCTACAATGTCTTTCGTCAAACTTGCAGTAAGGTTTCACCCAGACGCTCGGCTGTCTCCGTAGCTCCGACGAGCTCCGTTACGTCGTGTGACGTCACATCTATCCAGATGCCTCGTGCAACTTGATGTTTGAAATAGATGATCAATGTTTCAAGTGTGTTTTTGACGGTGCACCTGCGCTCGCCTCTACGGGTCACACCGTAAAACATATTACATTAGTATAGGAGGAGTTGCGGATAAGAGATGGGTACCCTTCAATATTATAGAAAGAATGTGTAAATGTCTCGCTATGGGAAACCCAAAATATCTGTCCGATCAAAAAATAAAATAAAAGGTGCACAATGGCCCTATGTAACAAACATTCTGTAAAAGTCTCATTAAACTTCATTTAATAGTATAAACGGAGTTGCGGATTTGAGATATGTATACAGATTGAGCGTAACAGACGGACGGACGTACAGAGGTATGCCCGTCCGTCTGAAACGCTTTGGGGTAACCTCTTATCCGCCACTCTTCTTATATCACTGTATGGAATTTAATGAGACTTTCATAGATTCTTTATTACATGATGCCATTTTCAACTCCTACTTTGCTTTTAGATCGAGGAATATGTCGGATTTCCCAACATTTTATAAACGTAGCAACATTATTGCAGCCCGGAGGACCGGGCTTCTCTATACATATAAGTTTAAGTGTTAGTGTATGGGGATTGGGGTGGGAGAAATTATGTAGCATTAAAGGTTTATTAAACATTGAAAAGATTGTAAATCAGAATGTTCTTTCCGTTTATGAATTACGAGATACATAATATATTTACTTCCATAAAGTGAATCTGTAATTATATATATTTTTTTCATATTTAATATATGAAGTTACTTATCATTTACTATCGAAACAACGACAGGTCCCTTATTTTAGAATGTCGAATTTTACTTCTCGGATAAAAACGTACTCTGCACAGTTCGTGTTTTATATTCTAAAATTGAAAATTAATACATTTTTAAATATAAATGATGCGTGTGTCTAACATCAATTTATATTTTATGCAGCCAACATTTACTTGAGGAATTGATAAAGTTTAAAATGGTATCGTTTTTTATTGATTTTTATCCGACTACAATTTTTTTTAAAATATCGTCTCCATCAATTAGACGCATGCCTTTTTACACATATCGAAGCAATTTGTTGATCAAGATTCATTTTCGTTGTTTACTTTATATATTTCTCGGGCGACAATTGATGGTTACATCAATGTTTTCTTGTTACCACTAAGGCTAAGGTTCAGTGATTTTGCATGTTCATAATTATATAAGCTTTGGACGTATAGATTATTCAGAAGACTCAGTCTTTAGAGTTGGTCGTTACTTAAACATTTTTTCTATGAAAACCATTTTTTTTAAAAAATCCCATTTGCGATGAATAAGTATTTTCTGAGAAGATAAAAAAAAACCGTTGCACAGGTATATCTATTGCTTATAATCCAAAAGAAGTCCGTCAATACTATGCTAGATATGTTACTGGTGCATCTGTTAACAACGATTAGTGAATGTTCTCATTTAATAAAATAAAAGATAAATATTGAGTTATTGAGTTAGTCGTTAGAATAGATATAAACCTTAACTAGGGGTACAGTGAGCACTGAGCTCATTAAATGATACCTCCGCCTCCCATGTAATTACTGTGGCAAAATCCATATCAGTATCAGATCAAAAGTAAAATAGAAGGGGAATATTGGTATTATGTAATAAAGAATCTATGAAAGTACATGTATCATTAAATTTTATTCAGTGGTGGAGGAGGAGTTGCGGATGGGAGATGGGTACCCTTCAGTATTAAGAAAGAAAGCAGTGTCAATGTTTTACTATGGTAAGCCCAAAATATGTGTCCAATCAATAAAGTAAAAGAGGAGGTGCACCATGACAATACGTTCAAGATTTTTTGAAAGTTTCATCAAAGAAGACGGGCGCCTTTGGCGTGTGATCTGCAGGAATTATTTGTACGAAACATTTTAATTTAATGGTTTAAATGTCCATGATTTGGTTGGCTGAACATAGCTGGTCTGATTTTACAAACACGTCCATAGGATTTTTTTTCATTTAGTTTGAAAGAATTTCTGAGATTGCAACATTTATGTCTGTTTTTCCGAGGAGGAACTATAACATGGTAATGTTTCACAAAAAAAAAAATAAACACCTAAAATATTTAATGCATAGATGCATGTTACGTGTACATGTGCATCATAGAATAGAAGATTGGAATTGATTTCGCTCAAAAACCAAACTGAACCAAAATATATCTAATTCAAAATTTAAAAAGAAACTGACGAAATAAATGGTTGGTTGCATGAAAAAAAATTAACGACCCCATGCAAGACTCGAACCCAAAACTTTTCGCTCCGATTGCACAGTACAGTTAGCCCAACTCACTGAGCTATCACCGCTGCACAAATAAGGGTGATTTTAAAAGGACAAAGAAGCACCACATTCACACATTTGGATTTTTTTGGAAAAGTTCATTTTTCGTGGTCTCTGGGTCTTCTCTCCATTTTTTAAAAATGTGTATTCATTTCTTTGAATGAAAATACACACAAATGACGTTTAAAAATCATGGAGAGAAGACCCAGAGATAGTAAAATTTTTAGAAAAACGTGCTTAAAAATGTACCATTTTGTACCAAATGTCTGATCTGGCCAATTTTCAAGTTATTCTTAAGCAAATCAAAGCTCAATTTCGGAAAAATATTTTCCTTTCCTGTTGCACAGGAACTCGATAAATAAAAAAAATATAAAAATTTCATATGACAGACATGTCGATATAATTTTCACTTTTCAATTACACCCACATTCCTGCCGAATGCCAATCAAATGCGCCCTCGTTCCTCCAATCAGTGGTATAAGAGGAGTTGGGGTAAGAGATAGGTACCCCAAAGCGTAAAAGACAGACGGACATTCTGATCAAATGTTAAATAGTCTTCCACTTTTCAAGCGGGGGTATAAATAGGAACTGATTGATGAAAATATAATATTATCTAGGCTGCCATAATTTATCATAAGAATTTCTGCACAACATTTGAGGTCCTTCCGCATATAGGAATCCACATGAATAGGTTAAATTGTTGTGCACCGATAATTCAAAATAAAAGAACAAACCATCAGTTTGCAAACTTTAATCAATCATATTGGAAATAATTATTTCAAAAAGGATCCTGTAAAATCAATTTTGAACCCCTATCAGAAGAGAACCTGTAAAGAATTCCGTGTAAAATAACAGCATTTTGATGGTCTTTGAAGAAATCTACCTTGCACACATCACCTGAAATGTGTAGTCATGATATCCTTGAATTCATTTATGTGATGAACAGATTGAAATACACGTAAAATAACATTGCATTACAGTATATGAAAACACAATTTCATGTCGGATTCTACTCCAACAAAATTAAAACACATCTAAATCAGAAAGTTTTTGTATAGTTTTAACAAATGTAAATAAAAAGCCTTCAGTGGAATTAGCCGTAAATTATGTTTTGTTTATTAATCTTCAATACAAAGTATAAAAAAAGACTTACTGGATTTGTAAATGTCTTTGCTTCTTTGCTTCTCATACATGAACATGCTTTAAGAGTTTGACTAGGTGTCGAAATTGCCCGCGTAATAACATAACAAGTGAATTTAAGATGCAATAGGTAAATCCGCTATTGCGATAGAATTTAGAAATCAATAATTTTAGAATTAGAAATTAAAAGAAAACATTTCTTAACTGCTTCATCTAGTTAAGTATCCCTGTCTAGATTGGTTTGGATACTCCTTTTTAGATAATCTGCATGGAAAGTGTTGAGGTTCACTTTGATTTTCGAACATACAGATTGATGAACAGCAAGACAGACAGATTAAAACGGTGATTCCAGTATACCTTCCCACATAACTCATGAATCTATTGCCATGTTACCGAAAAGAATTCTTTCAATGGACCATGATGACGCTTAGAGTAGACAAGTAATTACGAAGGTAATGCAATATGGCTCTGAATACAAGGCAAAAAGGGGGAAGTGAAAACATTTACCTTTTGTCAGTTGCAGAACATCAACGAAGACGTAAATTCATGAACATTTTATTCTTCTAGGGAATGTGCACGTCAGAGAATAACTAGAAATCAACAAAACATAACTTTAATTAATTTCAATAAATTATCAATTAATTACAGTTCAATCTATTAGAGTCAAGAGACATACATCTCTTAGACAATAAATAGTAACATTTTCAGTATTTCATAGATTGGTTAAAGAAAATTATCTTGTTGCATAAACTAACTGTAAAGAAATTTCCTAAATTGCTTAAATCGGCCTTGTACTAAAAATTGAATGCAAATTCATGAGCAATGCATATAAATCACTCCTTTACATATACTACACCAACAGTTAGATCTGAAATAAAAAAAAATTACTACATATATATTAATTTCTTGATAAATTTCTTAAAAACTTTTGCGATTTAAATAAAGAATTTTGTTTTCTGATTTTACTTACAGCTTTCTTGTTGTATATGTAGAATCTCAGCTCTGTCCTCTATAAACGCTCTTCTTGCATCTGTGCAGGTAAAATATTGTACCACTTCTTTGTGCATTTCCAGGAAATTAAAAGCTTACGCAATATGTTTCTCAACGAATGAAAAGATTCAGAAGCCTTTAAATATCACCAGGTGGTCTTCCACGACGTATTTTCCTATCAATGCTTATTAGAACTGCATCTCAGTTTTAATCAAGCCTTGTCGAGTCAATTGTTTTGATTTCCCTCCCAATGCCCCAAAACATGGGCAATTGGAGAGAATTAACGAAACCGATTTTTGTAGTCGTCATATGTATCTTGGCTGTACCTGTTCATCCTAGATTCATCAATTTTAAGTCAGGATACGAGTATGTGTACAAGTATGAGGGTCATGCCACTGTTAAAGATCTAGGAAAGTTCCTCATCACAGCTAAGGTATGAGCTTCTGTGAAAATGTGGGTTTTTGGAAGGTGGGTGGGTAGCTGAATTAACCAAAGTAGTGAATTTTTGGGGTTATGCTTTACCTTGATGCGTTTTACTTTAAACGGCTTCAACTGCGAATTCGATTAAATTGAACAAATTGATATTTTCTGATAGAAAAATACGGAATTTGAGAAGCAATATCTCTAAGTCTAGTCTGATTTTATATTTTTCACATTTTAACATTTGACGTTTAACATTAAAGAAAAATACTTGCCGAAATACTTCCATTAATTACTTGTATGTTTGTTCAATGTATAACATGTGTGTTAATATTAGACGTTTGAATGATATTATGCTGTTTCAAGGCCTGTTATAAAATTGCCAATATCACGCCATCGCATAAGAGATGACACTTAAAATGATTGTCATCATGTATCACAATAATGCAGTGATATTTGATGGCGATATCATTTCTAAGGATGACAACAGTCCAGAGGTGATACTTGATACAACTTCCTACCTTTCTTTATAAAAAGTAACTTGATTCAAAGGTCTCATTGGATCATGGAATAATTGAAGATGTATTTTTTCAAGTGGCAATGCTATAATTAGGGGTTTAAACACATGCAGGTCACAAAACAAAGTGCATCGGTTCAGAAGTCTGAATGGAGTGAATGCTCTGCTAATTTACTTTTGAAAAATAATAAATAAAAAAAGGTAAATCACAATACCTTGACACGGAAATCTTCTATTACCTTGCTTTTTTGTCGGCTCCGTCTCCTAAATCCCTGACTGACTTTAATTAATCTTTGTACACGAGTACAAAGACGAACATAATACTGGATTTATAAGCGTATGGCATTTTCATAGAAACTAAAAATTCCATTATCTTAAGATTCTTTTTGAATTGTTTAATTTTACTTTCAGATATTATCAGATATTTGGTTCGATTCATGAAATCCAAGAAAACTTGGTATATAAGTTGGAAGTTTAGTAATATGTATACATGTAGTTTATAACTGTGCAAACAATCACAAACCGTTTTATCGGTTTTTGATTTTAATTCAGACCACTGGTTCTACGAGCAATTTGGAAATTCTTTCGACATACTTAATTTTGACGACAGCTATAACAGTTCAAAGTTTTGAAGATCTTAGCACATGTTTTTTGAACGGGTAAGGGGTAGGGGAGGTTTTATTTGATTTAAAAGCAAATGAGTTCAGGGGATTGTGATGGTCAAAGGTGAATCCCCGGTAAAAGGTGCAACATGTTAATCCTTGGCTTCTCATTTTGAGGGTGCATAAAAGGAAATGTCAACCATATTAATCCTCAGGATGAAAAGGAAATCTCATAATGCACAGGACAGTGCAAATTATTAATTTCATTCGAAAGATGAATTGGCTACTCCATTAGGTTTATCCAACGGACGCCTGGGGATAACGACAACTTGATATACCTGAATTTTCTGTAGAAAGTACAGGTAACATTTACAAATAATGACATTTCCTTTTATGCACCTTCAAAATGAGAAGCCAAGGATTAACATGTTGTACCTTTTACCGGGGATTCACCATTGACCATCACAATCCCCTGAACTCATATGTGACTGAAATGCAACTGAAAGGTCACTGAAATGTATGTGCCATTCAGTGGCTGAATGACCACTGAAAAGTCACTAAAAGCCGCCTTTCAGATTTAACTGAAATATCTTGTTTCTCCCTGTGGTTTCAACCATATTAATCCTCAGGATGAAAAGGAAATCTCATAATGTACAGGACAGTGCAAATTATTAATTTCATTCGAAAGATGAATTGGCTACTCCATTAGGTTTATCCAACGGACGCCTGGGGATAACGACAACTTGATATACCTGAATTTTCTGTAGAAAGTACAGGTAACATTTACAAATAATGACATTTCCTTTTATGCACCTTCAAAATGAGAAGCCAAGGATTAACATGTTGTACCTTTTACCGGGGATTCACCTTTGACCATCACAATCCCCTGAACTCATATGTGACTGAAAGGCAACTGAAAGGTCACTGAAATGTATGTGCCATTCAGTGGCTGAATGACCACTGAAAAGTCACTAAAAGCCGCCTTTCAGATTTAACTGAAATATCTTGTTTCTCCCTGTGGTTTCAACCATATTAATCCTCAGGATGAAAAGGAAATCTCATAATGCACAGGACAGTGCAAATTATTAATTTCATTCGAAAGATGAATTGGCTACTCCATTAGGTTTATCCAACGGACGCCTGGGGATAACGACAACTTGATATACCCGAATTTTCTGTAGAAAGTACAGGTAACATTTACAAATAATGACATTTCCTTTTATGCACCCCACAGGGAGAAACAAGATATTTCAGTTAAATCTGAAAGGCGGCTTTTAGTGACTTTTCAGTGGTCATTCAGCCACTGAATGGCACATACATTTCAGTGACCTTTCAGTTGCCTTTCAGTCACATTTCAGGTACCTTTCAGTCATCATTCAGCGGACACATTTCCGTAAACTTTCAGTAACCTTTCCATCGACTTTCAGTGACCTTTCTGTCGTCTTTTAGTGACCTTACCGCCACCTTTCAGCGACATTTAAGTCTCATTTTAGCGATTTTTTTTCACTGGCTTAGTAATTTATAATCAGATATTTTTCCTTAACAATGCAGCAATATTTTGAATAAAGATTTATTATTCAATATTAATTGTGTTTTTTTCTTATCGCGATTAAATTCGGGTACTTTAAAAATATGTCTAAATAATTATTATAATTTTATAAAATAAATTATTCTAATTCAAAATGATTTTTAATTAATTTTTCTAATTAGATTTAGAAAGCAAAAATTTTCAAGTGATAAAAAATGATGATCCGATAGTCGAATCAAAATTTAAATAAATGCCGTATTACACATTCTTTAGTGCTTATACGTGTATTTTTCATGGAAATATTTAGTTTTGAATGATGAGACAGAATTTATATTATTTACACCATTTCTGGAAGAACCCTAATATTATAAATTTCGTTCCTAAATTGTAAAAACCGCAGGATATTTTAGCTTTCGAAAAACTTCATTTTAAAATCATTTTACATGAATAGAATAAATCATTTATACATGCCTCTTGTAGAAAAACTAAATATTGTAGATTTTAGCTTTGTAAATGATATTGTTTTAAATTTTTCTACTAAGTTTTAGGTAGAGAATTTACAACGATCTCAAATCTCTGACACAGGAACAGGTGCCCGTCTCTGATAATTGTTATCATCCCGATAGGAGATGTGTAATTAATCAGCCCCAAAATCCCCGCAACTAACATAGAATATACAAAAGATATATACAAGATATATACACATCGCAGCTCCTCGATACAGCAGGTGAACCGATTGTTCTGTCGATTTCTACAGATTGATTGATTTAAATCCTTGCTATTCAACAAGAAGTCGTAGTGTAAGGTCAGCGGGTGTCCTGGGTTCGATTCTGGCCTTGTGCACGTTGTTTTTTTTTCTTGCATTAATTTTGTCCCTCAATTTTTTATACGGAATTAAATAAATCTAATGTTATTATACCAGGAAAAGGTGAAATAATTTTTTTAAGTTAAAAGATAAGCCGATTATTCAATAAAAAGATGCAACTGAATGATAACTTAAAGGTCACTGATATGTATGTGCCATTCAATCGACTGAATGGTAACTGAATGATCACGAAAAGGTCACGGGAAAGGGTTTTTCAGTGACCTTTCAGTGACCATTCAGTGGCCATATGCGTTCAGTGGGCATTCAGCTACTATTCAGTCAACTGAATTGTGGATTTTCATCCTGTGATCAGGCGTTTTCTGCCAAATCTGGGTCCCAAAACTCTTTTTACATTTTACACAGAAATCATTTGGTTGTATCCTGTAGATACACAGTAGAATAGGGTTCTAGAGGATTCATTTTCATTCCAGGGACACCCATCCTCGGTGCAGTTTCCAATTCTTGAATTTCATGTAGTAGCCAAATCATCTTTAGGACATGATACATGTAGCTGGGGTGCAAACAATTCATGAATATAATGTTTCAGAGTTTTCATTTTAATCCAAAGGACCGTATGAGGCTACAAAAAACCTAAATATTTCTTTATACAAACAGCTGATTCCCAGAGCTCCTCTCACATTATTCCGAAAGGTCTGACGTTTTCTAGGCTTTTTACGATCTTTCATATTTTACGTGCCAAACACATAAAAATCGCAAAAAAGCCTGGAAAACGTCTAATATTTTGAACTACTCTCTCTAGCCAAACCATTTTTGGATTTCGATTGTTGGTTTAATTAGTTTAAGAAGTATTTTATTCATAATATACAAAAAGTACAATATGAATATGGATTGAACAGCAGGCCAAGGGCCTATATTAGTTCTCTCCATTTGAGATCAAGGTACACATGGTACACTTAAATTACTGTACATATTTTAAGTTCAAAAAAAAAAACATGTATTATAAATTAATATTAAGAGAATTATAAAGAATACATAGTTGAAGAAAAATTGAGGAGAAAAAATGCAATCGATTGTTGGTATCCTGTAGATGCGCATATAAAGTTCTAGAAAACTGAATATAATTTTCAGGAAATATCTTGATGTAAAACGTAAAACGTAAAACTCAACCAAAACTCAACCAAACATAACAATTGAAAGTAATCTTTTTTTTCATTTTAGGAAGTCAATTAAAGACTGATTTCAAACTTTTTAAAATCGAACTAAATCATTTGTCATACAAAATAGAATTACTTCTGATCACCTGTTTCCTTAAAGAGGGCCATCATAGTCTATAAATTGTACATGTAAAAGATGTATGACTTGTTTATTTTGCAGATCTGAAATTAATTTTACAAAAACTTACAATAGCTTGGATTGGCACTAAAAAAGGCGAAATGATTTCACAAAATTCCCCCTCGCCAATAAATGAAATAAATAAAAAAAGAAATTTTAAATCAAAATCTGTTAAGAAAAACTTAATCCAGTTAGAAGACGAAAATTTGACACAGAGTCCTATTTAGGGAAGAACTCGTATGGTTAAGAAAAGATTTATAATTCAGAATTATAAAGGGTGAAAATGATTGAGTATACAGTGTATATGGATCTTTATGTACATTAAAATTGATATGGATCTCAAGATTAATTCACTCATGCAGAAAAAGGCTAAAACTTTCTGATTCAGAATTACGAAAGAAAATTGAAACTCTAAGGGGTTTAGACCTTACTGTTAACATGTGTAATAAGTTATAAAAGATTAACTATTCTTGGAAAAAGTTTTTTTTTATTTATGTCAACATGCATATGCGAGGGTGTTTCAACAAACATGTCCCGCTTTTTAATGTCTATATTTTTGACTAGTTATAAAATATTTATAAAATCATAACTGTGTATGCATAACTAAAACCCATGTCTACAAAATTATCTTGCATGTTGACATAAGTTGCATGTTGCCATAATTATCTTGCATTTTGATATAAATAAGTTGCATGTCTACAAAATCTACGATGTCAGATGCAGGCTTTACTTTTTAAAACAAAAAAGTAAGTCACACGTCTATACATAATTATGTTGCATCTTGCATCTACGATATGAGATACGGGCATTAGTACTGGGTTTTACTCATATCTATGAAATCAGATTCTCTTATAAAAGAATTGCAACTTGTAACCCAGTCACCTTTCAATACTGAACTGATTTGGTGAGCGATTTAGACCATGGGCATCTTATTTTAAATAAAACAGGTCAGTTACACCAATATTCAACACACAAACAGCGGGCAAGAGTTGCTGTTGAAAGTCCATGCTGTGAATATTGCTCCAGAAAATGATCCAAGTAAGATTTAATCGATGTTGTTTTACCATGTACATATAATGAGGGTTGATCCAAAACAAAAATATCACAACTGCTGTAAAATGTTTAACAGTCTACTGCCATCAACAAATACGAATTTTTAAAAGTTGTCTTTAAAATCATTGAGATATATATATATATATATATATATATGTAGACATGTATGCTATACATTTTTAAGTATTGATTCAAAGTAAACAACGTTGGGTCAACCGACCTAGTAATGAGCCCCCCCCCCCTTTGAAAAGGATTTTGAAATTTGGACACCCCCTTTTTTCTTGACAAGGTTTTTCTTGTTTGTTTAAAAATCTAAGCATGCAGCCACCCCTTTCAAAATCGATGCTACATTACTGTTATAGGAATTGTGACATTACTTTTGGGTCAATCCTCGTAATTATTATTTTTCTATATATTTTTAAAATAATAATCTCAGTGTAAATAATAGAAGTTCAAATAAGCTGCATTGCATAATTTAGAATACAATAATGTTTAAACATATTCCTTTTTATGTTGAATTTTAGATATTAAAGGAATCGATCTGGACTTTTCAAACTGGTAGGTAATCATTGTGGTATATATATAATAGTGCATACTGAAGGGTTACAAATGGGACTTTTCCAGATATAATGTACATGTATATGCATGTATTTGAAATTTGTGAAAATCTTCAATTTTCAAACATACATGTATATACCTAACATTCAAAAATCGATGCTTCGATTTCATCGAAATGGCTTTGAGCTACTACTAGAGAACATTCAGATTAATAACACAATTGATTTTGCATTTTGCGTACTTTCGGTTATACTAGAAATATTCAGGGGTGGGGGGGGGGGGGCACTGCACTTGTGTCGGAATTGAATTTTTAACCCATAGAATAATAAATGAGTTTGTTTCTGAGGAGGGATACTGAGCGAAATTCAGAGTTTTGTTTTTAAAAATGTACTATGGGTTATGTCGGAAATGAAAACTAAAAAATGTCGGAAATGAAATGTTCATAATTCAAAAGATTCCGGTAAAGAAATGCAGCTAGCCATGCGTGTCGGGATTTCCGATCTTTTTAGATTTCATGTATGAAAATCTTGGTCAGTGGTTATCCAACTTCTGTTCGGATTGCACTGATATAAAATATGTTAACTTCAATGTAGCCGCTCATTTCTTCAGCTTAATAGGGTGTCTTCCCACTTAGCCAAAATTCTGAAATTGATACATGTGACTGGTTTTGGCTAAGTGGGAATGGTGTACAGGTAAGGCCAGGGAGAGAACAAAAGAATTTGATTACAGGTGTCCTATAGTCTGTTTTTAGAATGACCAGTGCTATGAATTTTTTTAAATTCTTTATTTATTATATTTAATTCTTGTTAAAATGAATTAAAATGTCTTTTCTAATTCTTGATGACATTTTTTTAAAATATTTTTTTTATTCCACTTTTGTTTTTGTTTTTTTTTTCGTTTTTTAAGGTCTTCCGTTTCAGACGGAAGACCTTATAGTGATTCTACTGTTTCTTTTTATTAAGGTCTTCCGTTTCAGACGGAAGACCTTATAGTGATTCTACTGTTTCTTCTTTTTCTTTTTTTTATTATTATTATTTTTTTCCCCTTTTTGTTTTGGCGATTTCTCAGAGATGACTGGACGGATTCTCATGAAATTTTCAGAGATGATAAAGAGTAAAAATATCTTTCAGATGCAGTTTTCAGTTTTTCAAATTTCACTTCCGGTCGTCAGATATGTCCAATTTCCGCTTTTTTCAAAAAAGTTTTGTCCGAGTCATATCTCAGAAACGGTAAGAGATTAAGACACCAAATTTATATGAGTAATAGATCTTGATAAGTAGGCAAAACCAATTGGGTTATGATTGTCCGCCGTCACTTCCGGTCGTCATAGGAAGTGATCAAAGAAATCTAAAATTTCAACTTTTTCTTTTTTGAAACTTTTTTGCATCATATTATAGCATCTTATTTGTAGTATCGAAATATGTCAGTCCCACCGGAAACAAAAATGACAACTTCCGGTTATTAGAGAAAAACTTCGTAATTTGAGTATTTTTCTTACCCATAAATATTTTTTATAGATAAAGTATTTGTAATGATTTTTGGATATGTTATTTAGACTGCAACTGTCAACAGTAACGTCAAATATCTTTGTAAAATTCACTTCCGGTCGCGTGATTTCCTGTCCTCAAAATGAAAAGTTATCATAGCTAGATCTCGTAAACGGTAAAAGATTAAGACACCAAACTTTAAGTAGTAGTAGATCTTGATGAGTACGCAAAACCAGTTGGGATACGATTGTCCGCCGTCACTTCCGGTCGTCACGGGAAGTGATCAGAGAAATAGAAAAATTCAACTTTTCTTAATGAAAACTTTTTTGCATCACATTATAGCATCTTATTTGTGGTTTTGAAATATGTCAGTACCACCGGAAACAAAAACGACAACTTCCGGTTATAAGAGAAAAATACATAATTTGAGTATTTTTCTTTCCCATAAATATTTTTTGTGGATAAAGTATTTGTAAGGATTTTTGGATAGGTTTATCAGGCTGCAACTGTCTACATTAAAGTCAAACATCTCTATAAAATTCACTTCCGGTTGCGTGATTTCCTGTCCTCAAAATGAGAAGTTATCATAGCTAGATCTTGTAAACGGTAAAGGATTAAGACACCAAACTTATAGGAGTGAAACACCTTGATGAGTAGGCAAACTCATTTGGGTTTCCATTGTCCGTCGTCACTTCCGTTTGTCACAGGAAGTGAACAAATAAACCAAAAATTTCATTTTTTATTGAATCTTTCTTAGTTATACATTTTAGCATCTTATTTGTAGTTTTGAAATATGTCAGTAAAACTGGAAACAAAAACGACTACTTCCGATTATGAGAGAAAAACTGCATAAATTAATTATCGTACTATCCCATGAATATTTTTTTATATATAAAAAGAGCATTTGAAATGATTTTAGGGCATGTTATTCACACTAAAATGTCTAGAGTAACCTCAAAAATCTTTTCAAAAATTTACTTCCGGTCACGTGATTTCTTGTGATAACATTATGAGATCTCTTAAACTGTAACAGATCAAAACACTAAACTTATATGAATAATATACCATGATAGGGCAACAGATATAGAGTAAAATACGTTCGCCGTCACTTCCGGTCGTCACAGTAAGTAATAAAAAAAATTGAAAATGATTTTTGTAAATGTAATTAAGACTATAATTGTCTAAAGTAACGTCGAGAATCAAATCTTGGTAAGTTACACCTCCGGCCGTTTGTTTTCCTGAAATCATTTAAAATATTATAATTCATGCAGATGAATAGAGGAGAACGGAAGACCTTCTTTGTTGCTTTAGCAACAAGAGTTTCTAGTTATTATTATTATTATTTTTTTCCCTTTTTGTTTTCGTCGATTGCTCAGAGATGACTGAACAGATTCTCATGAAATTTTCAGAGATGATAGACAATCAAAATATCTTTCAAATGCAGTTTTCAGTTTTTGAAATTTCACTTCCGGTCGTCAGATATGTCCAATTTCCGCTTTTTTCAAAAAAGTTTTGTCCGAGTCATATCTCAGAAACGGTAAGAGTTTCAGACACCAAACTTATATGAGTACTAGATCTTGATAAGTAGGCAAAACCAATCGGGTTAAGATTGTCCGCCGTCACTTCCGGTCGTCACAGGAAGTGATCAAAGAAATCGAAAATTTCAACTTTTCTTTTTTGAAACTTTTTTTGCATCACATTATAGCATCTAGTTAAGGTCTTCCTTCTTCAGCGGAAGACCTTATTGTTTTTCTTAGGTTTCTTTTCCACTATTTTTATTATTATTGTTTTTTTTTCTTACCGATTTTGTACGCGCGATTTCTCGAGAACGGCTCGATCGATTTTCATGAAACTTTCAGGTCTGACAGAACATCAAAAAATCTAGATATATATTTTTTTATTTTGATGACGTCACTTCCGGTTCGGAGTTTTCTGCGATTTAGTGATTTTTAGAGGGTCACTTTGTCCGACAGTTTTCTCAAAAAGTACTTAACACAGAAGCTTGAAATTTTCAGTGATGCTAGAGCAACTTTTGGAGAAGTGCACTAAGTATATCACAACTACCGGAAGTACGAAGCGCCGACGCTCGCTATGGTCCGAAAATTGTCCTATCAAGAATTTCAAAATTTTAAGCACCTTTTCAACGATATCTTTTTACCTGGAAAAATTTTGTTATAGCATGTAGAACAAAAAAGGTGTAGAATTTCAAGATCTTTCATATGACATCTGAAAAAAAAGGGCTGGTGCCTTAAATCAGGGGCCTGGAGGGGCCGAAAGTTTTTCCTTTGTATCTCAAAAAGTATTGAGAATTTGTGATACGTCAAAGAAGCAAAGTTGTTCAAAATGTCAAGCTTAATCTATTTAAGTTGTCAAAATACGTCCGGCGTCGTTACTTCCGGTCAAACCGGAAGTAGTCCGAAAACGCTTATTTTTGCCGTTTTGGACAAGTTTTTTTTGGTAACATATGTCTCTTGGAGCATTAAATTTAATTTTCCGTCTGACGTCATCACTTCCGCATGTGAGTTAAGGCTACATATAGAAATTTCTATACAAAATATCTAATTAAATTCCATAATTGCTCTACCTACCGCACAGAAAATGCTAAGACTTGTTTTCTAATACATTCTTGGTACCAACGACATGCAATAGCCAGTACACATTATGACGTCATATTATGACGCCATTGACCTGTACTACACAAGTTTATAAGAAACATCAACAAAATCGCTTCGGCGCAAGGGCATACCTTACTTTGTTTTACAGAAACAAGGTATCAAAAGACGCAGGATATTCCAAGAATTTAGGATATTGCTGCACAAATCTCGGCAGTGCAATTGGTTACTTACTATTCGTGCAGTTTTAAGTTTTAACAGGTTAAAAATTCACTGTCCAGGGTAAGTTTCCTAAAATTTTTATCAATTGAGAAAGTGCATAGGATTTGTGCAGCAATTTTATTAATTTTAAGAATATTCAACTTAATATTATACATTGTTTATTTTAAATTAGATAGGATAGGCCCTTGCGCCGAGGTGATTTTGTTTATATGAGTTGATACCTTGAATGGGAGAGAACAATGACGTCATAATATGACGTCATAATGTGCACTCGCATTAATAAACTGTGGGTACTGAGTATGTATCAGAAAATCAATTTGAACCTTCAATGTTCATAAAATATACAAATTATGAATTTTCATTAGCTTATTTGCTTAAAAATATCCATATTTAGCCTTAACTCACTTGCGTCCGGTCAAACCCGAAGTAACAGAAAATGGCTTATTTTTGCAATAATTAACATGGATTTAGAGGAATCAAACCATATTTGGACGTTATTTCTCATTTTTGTTAAAAATGAAAGCCACTTCCGGTCAAACATGACGGAAGACCTACTCGTTGCTTTGCAACGAGCTTTGCTCTAGTTCTTATTATTTTTCTTCCTGGGAAAATTTTGTCCGCGAGTGATCTTGTAAACTACACATCCGACTTAGGTGAAACCTTTTTAGGGTAAGTAGGC